CAGCAGTATGTACCCACAATCTCTAACGTCCATGGGTTCAACTAAGGACCTTCAGTTTTCATGGCGAACTCCTCAACAATTCAGCCTCTGTTTCGGAGTTTAATGGTCCATAAGTTCCCACTTGTCAATTCGTGGTACAGCGTGACCATCACCCAAGGTTTTCAGTTGATATCCTCTTCACTCCTAACTGGCTGACCTAACTGATCACGGTTTCTCATTAGAACTTTGGGCTATCACTCTCGAAGCGTGTCACTGGTGATCACTATACAGTAATGTATTTCGACGTTTATGGGGGATTTGTATTTAAAGGTGCTATTCATCACGGCTTAGGAGTCCCGCACTAGGACGAAACAGATGTTCAGTGCTCCCAGGTTTCTGATCGTTCCCCAAATAATTTTAGTTCACCAAGAATACAACCTATGAAAATAGAATCTCCAGAAACTGAGAACCACACTACTGCATTGTGTCCATCAATGACATGTTTCGAGATGGATATCTCAAAGTTCTAACGAGAAGTAATATCCAGTGGGGTCAACTGGAGGAAAATGAAGAGGGTACCAAATGAAGACCTTGGATGATGGTCGCGCTATATCGCGACTTGAAAGAAGTAGGAGACTGTGGTCACCGAACTTCAACCCAGTAGCTGAATGGTTAGTTCATTCGCCATGAAACCTGAAGGTCCTGAATTCGATTCCTGGTCTATATATATTCTCATCACTTTCTTCAGCCATATGAATGAATTTTAACATAAAACCAGGTATTACTGCGTAAACGTATCACTTACCACACCTCATATCAGCGCATCAAATAACAAAGTAGTAAGATGAAGAAGGAATAATAATATACTGAATTCAGTAATGCGGCTGAGATAAAGATAATGGATGGATACATCTGCACCACTAACATCTACAGTGATCTGTATCACCTAGAGTTTCCAACTGCTGGATTTTGCTGTCACGTGAACCCCAATTCTCCTATACGACTCAGACCAACAGTTAACAGCTTCATGCAATGGTTCAGTGACTTTATCTAGCCACCTCAAGTCTTCTTCCAGCTTAAACCTACTTCAGCTAACATTGCACAACGAGGCAGACAGTCTTTAGGCCTGCGTAATATGGGTCTCAACCGTCGCAGTCGACGACGGTTCACAAATATATCAACTCACTTTCCTTTCCTTAACTCAACTTTATGCCTAAGTAAAGCATCATGCAGCGCAATAGACTCAACCCTTAATAGGCAATCGGATATGACGGAGGCTCCACAGATGCTGCAAGTTGGCGAAAGCCAGTGGAGCCTTTTGTATATCTTCAGACATTTCTTCGGTCACTGAGCTAGTAGAGCTGCTCAAACTTACCAGGTGAGTAAAGTGTTCAACGCACTCGATGACTTCACTCTCTACTGTTAGCCAGGGCACCGCTGAAGACCAGTCCTGGAGCGAAAGTTTATATTTGGGTGATGAGAAATGCGTTCCAAACATTCTCAAATTACCATTGGTGTCCAGAAGACTCTGAATCTTGTCAGCGTCTTGACCTAAAATGATTACATCACCTGCATATTCTAGGTCTACCAGTGATCCTCCCATAATTAGATCAATCTCTGTGAAGTCAGAGGACGAAAGGGCTTCGGTCATATACAGTCCCAATAAGCCTTAATTACAGTTTAGATAACATCTTAATAGTTATAAATATAGCTTCATTTAGAGATTTGATGAGCTTTTCTGCACCGAAGAACCAAGAAGATGATGAATAATTCATCGGTAGACTGTTTCTGAAGCATTAAACATGTTTGGGTCTGTCATTCTCATTGTAGCTTGGAACATAATGTCATATTTTATTCAAGTTCTTTTAAATGAACTTTCACTTTTCAAGCGCTCCACAGACGTTCACCAAAACAGCCAATATTTATATCGGTCAGTACTTTTGAAAACGAATGACTTTTATTTTACAAACTTCAATCGGTTTAAAGAGAAGTATAAAACCTAACCGAAGAGAGCTTCATTTAAAATTAATACATTAGGGATCAACACAAAAAGATTAATATATTGCCGATAAACATGATAAGTTTTAGTTTATTCATGTCAACCAACAGTGACCTTTAACCAGATCGAGGTGACCTAAACAATGGACAACCGTTTCGCTCATTTGGGGTGAAGCTCATTAGCAATGTTTGCAAAATGATTCATCACAGAATACCGAATTGTTTAAACTACCGGAAATCTAGTTGGCCTTTGGTTAGATCACATTGATCTGCCTGGTGAACACTAATGTTTGACGTGAATGGACTAAAACTTCTCATCCGAATAGACAATACACTTTATACAGCTTTCAAGTTTGCAGTCTTGGTGTCAACGGCGGTGTCCAGCATATTACATCATGTGATGGGAATATTTTATTTATCACTGGAACCTGCCTGGCAAATGACTATGCATGTATTACTTAGTACTAGCTAAAACCCTGGAAAATAATGAAATAAACCAATCGCTTAAATACAAGGACATAACTCAGATGAAACAATTATGATTTGCATTTACATAAAAGGCTATCAATGAAGGACAGCATGGAGATTAATAGGCAGTGAACAAATTATAACCAACAGATGTAAGGCTACAGTTTTATCCACTCTCACAGAAATCAAATCAGTGTTACACATCAAAGTATGCTGTGGAACGCCATGCTTAACTCATCAGAACTACTTTCAAACACAAAAAAGTTGCTTTCATTTTCACCGCTACTCACTTGCTGGTTTCACACTATTATATGGAGTGCTGTGAAAAAGCCTTTGACCAATTTTTCATGTCGTCCACCTTTATAAGTCAAGTCCTACAGTCATTAAGTAGGATATAAAGGGCTTCTACATAGCTTATGGGCAATTTAACAAGTAGTTATGTGTCAAACATGAGTCAAGTTGCACCATGGTGACCATTTCGCAAGATAATAGATAAAATTCTATTGGTACTCAAGATTAGACAGCAAGAACTCACTAACTCTTCAGTGATCAATCAATATATTTGATCTAGTCGTACAAGAGGTCAATCACAGCCCAAATAGCTCAGTGGTAATATCTCTGACTTTATCACCGAGCGACTGGGGTTCAAGTCTCTCAGGCTATGTCAGTTTTCTCAAAGTTGGTAAATACAGCTTTCAGACGAGTGTCAACAGACAAGAAACCTGAGTCCAGGTATTCCTGTGACTGGTTTTCAACCATCTGACATATCTAGATAGTGTTATAAACAGAAAATGCTAACCTAGCCTATGGTCAAACTTCTTCCATCACCAAAAGGACAGGAATAAATGAACTTGGCAGTTAAGCAGTCACCTTATCAAACCTCTTGACCTACAGCTCCGTTTCACTCGTGTTCCAAGGCCATGATCTTAATAAAGTGATGCATGAATAACAAACACCAAGCTCAACTCAATTAATATAGGATCGTGACCTTATCAGTTAGTTTTCTTGAACTAAATATCGGTGGTTGATATCAACCCAGCTAGATCAATCGTCCTGAAGGGTGCTTCGATTACGTGAATGAAAATACACATGCAGTCTTTGGTGTTGTAATTGACCATCGTGAAAAAATAAAACAGAACTAAACAAGCACTTCTACAGAAATGTAGGAATGCATACAGAGTTACAAATATAAAATTTGCTTATTCTGGCAAATTATTTTTCACAAACACTTGTTTGGATAACGCTCTGATGTTTTAAGTGTTCAGTCCCAAGTTTGAGTCCAAGTGAGGACTACATCATAACATCACAGAACAACATGCAGCTTAAGAGTCCCAAATAGGACGAAATGCGCGCACTAGATCCCACTGTTAGCCACTATCCATCACTGTTACTAAGTGATTGGTTGTAAATAAACATCAAAGAATTCAACATTTGCTTCATCTCAAAATTTAATAACAGTGATAAAAAACTTGAAATTCAATGAGTATTCAGTAAATATTGGAATGGATTTCTGGAAATTCTTGTCAAATTCAACGATTTCTTCTTCTAAGGTTAAACTTCAGCATAATAAGGTGTCAAGAAGAATAAAACAATTCATAACTGAATTACAGACTTATCATACACTGAAGATTTCAACTATGCAAATTATATTTAACACTCAATTCTTTCGCCAAACTTAAATAAAACAAGAACAAGTATATTTTCAGGATTCGATGAACTCGATGCATTCCTACCAACCACATATATTTCAATAAAACCAAATTCCTATGAGTAAATAATGACATACCTGAAAGTTGTACAATGAATTAGTCAGGTGAAAATCCCTTTCTTCGACTCATTTCTGATGCATATAATCTGTGATCAGTAAAGAATCTTCATCCATATGAAAGAACTCATGTTCTCTAGGAAATTCGAATGAGAGTCAAACGCGTTTTTATTGGAATATGCAGTTAGAATATCCGGTGAGTGCATTAGTTTGTAAAAACACCTAACACTGGGGGTATTACACTTTAGCTTACTCATCCGAAGATCCATTCATCAACTTAACAAACATGTACACATCCGTACAGTAGGCAATGAGCCATACCTACTTTATATCGGCCAATGATACTACGCGGTTGCCCAAACCTCAGTAGGTAGAGCAGCGTTCGAATCCACAACGCACTGATTGGACATCAACTCCCTAAACCAATGACTGACTGACTGATAAAATCAACGTAGAACCTCGCATTCAAGTGAATAACCTCAAGTTACCATATTTCACAGTAGTACACAAAGAACGGATGGGTTGAAAAAGAGTGATATCAAAGTAGACAAAGTTGTGTGAGAGAATAAACAGTCTAAAGATAACGGTTAGTCTGAATATTCAAGCTTAAGATATCAAGAAGTGAATACACCAATGATCCATAACTCTAAAACTCCGCACTCAGTAACAAACTAAAAATATTTAGCAAACTATTTTTAAGTTATAAATTCCTTCACGGGTTTATAAAATTACTTTTGAATTCTGTTAAGTATTTACATAAAACAAACTTTTATGAGCATTGACAACTTACGTGCATATTGCTTTGGATAAATTACCACATTCAAAGCGTGATTCAAACTGCAGAAATCTAGGATCATTAGACAAATGTTTTAAGTGTCCAGTGCTTGTATTTATTTTAGACGTAGTAAACTGAAATCAAATTTTGATGAGAAAAAGACAACTTGAAAAAGTATTACAGGGAAATTATTTCACATGACAATTAAAAATCAACCTATATTAAGCTTAAAGACATGCATACATTATAATATTAATATGTAAGTTCCTTGCAAATAAAGATGTTGGCAAATTCAGTTCTTATTAAAATGGGCATTTTGCTGAGAATAGATGAGTGACTCTAATGACCTACCTAGCAACAACTGAAATAACCAATTAGCTTTCGTTATTTCACAAAAGTGTGCCTTTCCAACAGAAATAAAGATTGAATTTTGAGGGAGTTGTGAGGATTTGAAAATATTTCAAGTTGTTGTTCATCGTAGACTGACATCAGTTGGAGGAACAAAGGAAACCTGGGTGCACTGGACAGCTGTTTCAACCTAGTATGACCCAGTGGCTGAATGGTAACGCGCTGGCCACGGAACCTGAAGGTCGCGGGTTCAATCCCTGGCGAGGTCGTGTGTGCGTACTGCTGAAGAGTCGCATACTAGGACGAAACAGCTACCCAGTGCTCCCAGGTTTCCTTTGTTCCCCCAACTGATGTCAGCCTACGATTAATAACAACTAGAAATAAAGATATCTGGTTGGTCTTTTCACTTGTCATCAAAGTGGCCTTTAAAGTCAATCGAAGAAATCAACAGATACTGTAGTGGGCGTTGCTGATAACAACGTATATAAGTAGTATATATGGAGAGGGTGGCAGGAATCATAGGGAATTACCAGTAATGGGTAAGGTTTCTATCAAGAGCAACGCAAGGGACAACGCAGGCGTATTACAGGTGATGCTCTTGCTTTCGCTCTGCTTCGCAGCAACGTTCTCAGCACCATGACCTTCTCCTCCGGCTCCCGAACCCCCACCAGCTCCGCTACCGCCTCGTAGTCCTTGAGGAAGACTTTGATGTCTCCATCCTCGAACTCTGCAGGCTATGGGATCTTCATCACATCCAAAGGCAGCGACACCAACTGAAGAAATAGAAGAAGGCTTTCAATATCTTTATAGTGTCAATTCGAAGTTTCTCCAACAGCGCATGAATCTAAGAATTTTAATTCGCGAATATTTCTTAGACTTGTGACTGATAGGCAAGGAGATCGATTTGATGTGATTACTATTGCTCATACTTAAAAATCTTTAATTTAATGTGTGACTGTTGTCGGATGATTAGGGTGAACTTCTTGTGTCTTCACCTTACAAAGTTGTGAAACCGAATTTTACACCAACGTACATTTAGTGAGTAAGACAACCAACAATTATATTAATCCACGGTCAACTATATTGCTATTTGATCAAGGTTTGACACCATATGCATTTTAGCAATCAAATTATTCGTCTTGATCTCAGATTATGCTTTGTATTTATACATGAAGAAGTAGCATTTTTGAGCAACCCTAAATTAAATCAAAACGGATACATAATCCAATAATCTTTAGCGGTTCTTCATGAAATGTAACTATCTATTAAAAATTAAACCCCAAAAAGCTTCTCATAAGAAATGAACTGAGAATAGTAACATTTTTACACTTACTAGACATTAATACTCTAAGTTCGCAATATGAAGAACAATGGGTTTGAAATCTGAAGTCTAGTTTACGAAAATCAATATGTTTAGTGGTAATTCACATGAAACTATCAGTATGTACATGGTAAACGGTATTTGTACTCGTCAACTGATTACTGTTAAAAATACCACTCTCTACTATCTTTATTAAAAACCTCAAAGTAACTCGCTGATTTTCATTTGTCTTTCCGAGATGTTAAAACATAAAGGAAGTCTTAACTTCACTGAACACTTCTTCACAAACATGGCAACTCTTTAATTTGCTTCATCTAACTCTGCCAAACATACTTCTGAAAATCACCGTTTATTCTGCTTCTTATTTCGATTAAACACAGATTATTATCTTCCCTAGGGATCTCATAGACGACGCTAATTAAGTTCAGGGTCTCTTGAACACCATAAGATCAAATGTAGAAATGTCAGAAATTCTTTCTGCATCTTTCAAATGAAAAACTTTCCAAACGAGACTGGTTAATATTGATTATCCACTGTATAATATAGAGATAAGTGGTTGAGAAAAGTCAAATCAAACTTGTTGATTGGATGACTGACTGACTTTTGACATTGATAGATAGGATTCTTCCAGCGTTTACCAACTAAAACTATTGTGATATAAGCAAGATAATTGAATGAATACTTAGGGTTTAATGAACTGTTAAGTACACGCATACCTGAACATCGCTGTTTTTGTAGCACTAACCACCTACGAAGGAGATCCCAATGTTATCAGTACAGAATTTAAGCATATAGTAATACCAGGTAAAAATGAAAAAATCATTTGATTCAGTTAAGAACACGACATTTATTACGCATGTCTAGTTATCGTCTATCATGATGCTCAGTGTTAGCTGGAATAACACTACGTTGCAGAATAGTAAAAGGTGTCCAAACAAAAGTAAACCACCCATTCATGAAACCACTGATTATGAAACCCAGTCACCCACACAAACGAAGTGTAACTGCTTAAAATCCATGAGACAACCAAAACTGACAGCTTGGGGATTAATATGCCATCGCAGTAGTGTGAACGCATTCACACTGTACCGTTACGTTTTTCTCAAAAATCCTACACCTATAAAATTTTATTCCTTTTACCAACTTTTCTTTCCAGCTGCAAGTTTTTTTCTGATGGGGTTGTGTTATCTGAGCTGGATTGCTTAATCGTCGTTGTTTTTGCCAAGATCTTGTCACTGTCTCCATAACTATTCCGATCAGCTATCCTGCTGATATGAACTTTGACTTTCTCGTCGTTACTTATTGATTGATAGATTGGGACAAAGTCAATATGTCTGCTGATTGCTGACTGACCTGAATTCGAAGCTTCTAAAAATTCTCTGGCATTCTTTGCATTTCCTCTACCCAGGATTTCTACATTTTCTCAGTCAAATTCATGTCCGCAGTTGTCGGTGTGCATGGATATGAGTGGTGTCATGAAGCTTCACTGTTAGTTGATGTTCATGTAGACTGATACGAAGAGGGTGACCACTCTGTTCGATACAGTATTTTTCACAGTTTCTGCGGTTTATTTCGTAGGTAGTGTTTGGTTTGTCTTCCTTTGCTATTGTATCTTTCGTCCTGCATAACACAGACTGGAGAGATTTTCTGGGCTTGTGAGGTACAGCGATTCCAAGAGGCTCAGAAAACACAACCCCATCAAAATTATCCCAGTTTTGTTCAATAGCTGGCTCCAGTTATTTCCTCTTCATTTTTTGCGCTGACATTCTCTTCCTATAATAATGTGAATTAAGACAACTTAAACCAAAACTCAATTATGACAGAGGTCTTCTGCTGTTATCAAACATTTTTAAAAGCACCAGGTGACATTTTCAGAAAACTTAAACGATGGACGTAATTTGCGAGTTCAATGAGATTGTACTTTATGTCTTATAAGTCATATGAATAACAGCCTCAATTTCATCCTTTGGGTTACCTAAAGTGGAAAACAAAGGAACAATAATAAGTAGTAAGGGTTTTGAGAACCGACACTCTCTAACGCTGGACCCCAACATTTCTTGAGTCATATTCAGGCATCCTACACTTCATGCGTAGCCCAAACCAAAGAATCGATGGAGATAGAACAAAAATACCACCCTTTCTCTATTTTTAAAACTCCTAGCAAATTTTGATGAAAAATATCCACACACGAACTTCGTATGATTTATATGTTCATCTATTAACAGAACTAAAGATAGACATTAGACTTACAAATTTTCCAACCATTGGTTCATACTGAAAAACAACAGTATTATTATATCCATTCGATACTGGTGGTTGAAATTCATCACCCACTGAAATTTTAAGCAAAATAAAATTCTTACACTAATTAACCTTTTATTTTTATCATCCAACATACATCAAAACGTTTCAAGGAAAGTTTACCACAGAAATAAGCAAAGTTGAAGTGGTGGAGAATATTTGTAGCTTAGGTGGATGGTCTTGGTTGTATTGTGTTCTCTGAGCTGGGTTGTTTAATCGTGGAGCTTTCATCGTCCTTCTAAACGACATCATCAGCACTAACTTCAGTATGAAGTGAGCTGTCAATATCTCTCCACGAGTGATTTAGTGGTGGCCTGCTCTGACGATGTGGTCTGTGATTGGTTGTTTCCTTCGATTGTTGTGTCATTGAGTGTACAGATTTTCCTGTTGGCTGTCCCTCTGCTTGACCTCTAACCTTTCTGTAGTTTATCATCTTTCTTATTGGTGGACTGGTCGGGTCTATGTCTATACATCAAATGATTGCTGACTGACCTGAATGCCAAGCTTCTAGGAATTCTCTGATGATATTCTTTGTGTTTCCTCTCTCCGTCCACGATTTCTACATTGCCGAAATTGAATTCATGTCCCTAATTATCTACATGCATTGAAATGAGTGATGAAATGTCGTGGCGTTTAATAGTCAATTGGTGTTCATGTAGATGAAGGTGAAGAAAGCGACCAATTTGTCCAATGTAATGTTGACTACAGTTATTGCAGTCGATTTTGTAAATGATATCCTGTTTATCTTCTTTGGTTGGTGCGTCCCTTGGTCTGCATAATAGGGTTTGGAGGGAATTTGTTGGTCTATGAACCACACCAATAATAACCAGTAGTCTTGTCGTTATTTCTGAAATTACTAAAATCAAACTGAAGTTAGTGCTGATGATGTTGTCTAGAAAGATGACGAAAGCTCCGTGATTAAACAACCCAGCTCAGAGAACACAGTAAGCGAAGTATTGTCTTTTAAAACTGAAAAAACATAAACAGAATAGGCATAGATAAAAAGCAAACTGGACGAGAAATGTTCTTTTTAACTACTTTTCATCAAGTTCTACAAGTTGCACATATTGTACTGAGTGAAATAAGTCAAGTTTGAGGTGAATATATTTCCAAAATGGAATGAGAGTTAAAGACTGTAAAGAAATCGAACTTTCTTTTTTAATTTGCCATTATTAAGGTGACTTATATGTACTGAGAAAGAATTTGATGGTAAGCGAAAAGATAACAAATCAGGAAAAAAACAGTACCCTTTACTTTACTGAAGACCAAAAGAGGAATAGAGTTTGAACATGTTCTTTTCGAAAGTAAAGTCTGGGTTTGATCAATCTTACTGTGACAATCTGAGATATATTGACCAGGTGGTGGCAAGTTACACTTGGTATTGTTTTCAGCGCATGATGTATGAGATAAAAAGCTTTGTTAACATCTACGTGATGCTCTATGTTTACTAGGTGGGTTAGGACAGAACTTTTCATCACTTTCATTTCACTTTTTGCTAACCAAGTCGGTAAATATTCTCGTATCCAAAAATACAACTTCCAAATCATAAACCCTATGTAACTTGTTCAACAAAAACAGTTATATTGATGTGTGCAAGATGAAAAGCTAAAATTAGGTCAGCTGTCCTTTACTCTCGGACTGAGCATTGACCGACTACTGAAAGATATCCAAAGACGAGCTGAATAAAACGTTCTATTAATAAACACTACTTAAAGACTGATCTGAAATTGAAATGTGCAAGACTACATAACGAAATGATGCTTATCGTATAAATGATGAAGATAGAAAGGGAATTTATGATGACTTGCAACTGTATGAAAACTGTAGTCATGAGTAAACTTAACCCAAGTAGTAGTCATTGTGGTGTGGTAGTAGCCACAATAATCTATTTACTAAACGCTTAATAGCCACATGACTATGCTTAGGGGCTGTTCAAAATCGTCAACAAACACAATAGCTCAATTCAATTTCAATCAGAAATCTCAAACAGCATTTATGTGTTCAAAATGGAATTTGTCGTTAAACTTCAACTAGTCTAGTAACCTCATTCCTAAACCCCTTACTCATTTAACTATTTTACAATTCTGTCATTAGATGTTTAGGTCATATTAAACTCTGAATTTAATCTATCACATTCAACTTGTTATGATTTATCATACCTTCTTTTGTTATTTCAATTCACTTAGTTTCCTTACTTGACTGCGTCACTGTCCTATTTTGTCTGATCTTACTGAACTAATGTATGTCAATATTCTATAGTAGTTTGGTGTTTCTATTATTACAACAGGCCGTACGCAGCTAACAAGAATCAAGGAATTGGTCAAATTGATCTATATTATTCTGCCTCAGTGCTATTGAAGTTAAAAATGCTTGAATGATGAAGCTGTCCAGTACACCCAGGTTTCCAGTGGTTTCTCAATTGATAATAATAATAATAATCAAGATCAATATAGCATCAGGCATTACTGCGTAATGGTTCAAGTTGTCACATCTCATATCAGTACACCAGGTTGTACAGCAATAAAATGGTGCATGAAGAAGGAAAGAAAAATCAGTTAGAAGAAGTAGAAAGTATTAGGAGAGAGAATGAATGAGTTGATGAGACTAAATACAGCAGTTAGGATGAAGATAATGTGTGTATACATGTTCGCCACTTACATCGGTTCTGAGCCATATCACCTAAAGACTCCAACCACTGGTTTCTGTTGTCCCGCGGACCCCACATGGCTCAAAAGAACAGTCTAGGACTTCATGTACTGATGTCATGTTTTAGTTCAGCTGCCCTGAGTTTTCTCCAGCCTGAACCTACTTCGACCAACATTGTGTGACGAGGCAGACAGCGACTAGGCTTACGCAACACATATCTCAACCATCTCAGTCGATGAAGGTTCACAACCGCACCAACTGTCTTACCTCTCCTGCCAAAACTCTACGTCTGACTTCTGCGTTACTGACGTGGTGATACCATGAAACAGTTTAGAATTCTCTGTGTGATATTTCAAAAACTTTAATTCTTATGCAACATTTTAAAGTTAAATAATGTTAACAATAACAGAATGATAGGCAATAATGCACAACAACCAGTAGTCCTTAGGTCATCTATCATCTGATGTGTATGTTGTTGCATGTGAAACGGAAAGAAAAGCACACGTAATTTTCAGGGTGGAGGTTCATTCATCTAGTATGAAAATCTGTTCAAGCTACATGTTCCTGTAATAGTTATATGCTGCACTGTTGTGCGTGGTTTTGTACTTAACCCGAATAACGATAGGTTCAAGATATTTTAACGGTGTGTGAGAGTATGTTTTGAGATTTGCTGACACTTGAACCGTTAAAACAAGTAAAAGCAGCGACTTGATGACATATATCTCATGAAATATTTTTGGAAGCACAAAATATAAGCAGATCACCACTAGCTATTCATCAGGAATAAAACACTGAAATTAGTTCACACACGCAAACCTCCAAACTGGAAAACAAAGTATTCCAAAAAGTAAAGGATAACAATCTAATCATTCATCCTGTCCCCCGTGAATACATCTTACAGCACAATTATGTAATAATTTTCCCGAGATATTAATCTACTAATAAGAAAAAAGTAGTAAACTGACTACAACGAGCAGAAATGCGTGATATATTATTTGGAAATTTCGACGATAATTCACTTTAAACAGCGATTTCAATTGCTATAACAGCTGTTGACGAACTATCAGATGAGAATATTTCCTTAGCAACAACCAGCACGTGAAAAAATAGCACCTTCAAAAACAGACCCTGTTGCATTTCGAAATGAATCGCCTGAATTAACACCAATGAATGTAATCATTCGAAATTCACATCACCTAATTTATGAAAACCATCACGCCAAACATTGGCTATACATTAACAAATCACCAAGTATCATATACTGGAGTTCATATTACTGAGACATAAACTCCAGAAGCCCACATCAACTTTTCTCCCCACCCTCTGTGAATCCACATACTTAAAGAAACAGGCATACCATTATTCCAAGATTCCAGCACCAAACAATAAAGCACTACAGATACATCTGTTGTTGACAAAAAAGTAGTTCATACATCATCAACTCACAGCTACAAACATATACTGGATAAGAACAACATGGATTCATTTAATTACTTCACCAGTTCTCCTTACCTGCTTCACACCCACAATACCTAAAATGACAAATTGCAATGACACACATCAACCTACAACAGTTCAGTGACTTCAGTCAAAACAGAACAACGACATACCAAAGTAAGGACACTGTTCAAATTGAAATAAAGTCAAAATGTCATGTGATGATATCATAGATACATACCTTATGAAAACGAAAATTCTCGTAAATCTCAGATGAAGGCATAAAATGAACACTGTGTAAATAAGAGCAAGAAACTACCTAAGCCAATGAATAGATGACTCTGTAGTAATCGGAAGACAAAATGTAATAGAAAATAAAGAGTAGAACTCACCTGATTGAAATTTGAGGTTAAAGAGTCGACAACAAATCTAATGACAAGATAATGATGTAATCAAGTAAGTGAAACGTTGAGGAATTAGGTTATCAGAGCAGTCGAAGACTAATGATAGATTCCTGTCGAACACATAAATCTGGTTTCAGGTGTTTGATTGCAGTGGCTGCAGCGAAGCAAACAATACTTGAGTTATTCTGTTGTTCGATTACTGTAGAGGATTCCAAGGCATCTGCTTGATGTGGTGTCTCCACTATATGCTTAGTAATTGCACCATTCAGGATGCTCGCTCCTCTTGCTCTATCTTAGTGACATGTTCAAAATATCGAAGGTAAGTCTTTGTTCGTGTCCTCCTAATGTAAGTCCTCTGACAGACAGAAGTGAATTGATACACACAATTGGGGGTAGCATACGAGAGGTACCTGTCGATCTTTGGTTGTATCAACGAGCAAGGAGTATGAAATAGGGGAACTAGCTTTTCTGTAGGATACATCCTGTCCAGTGCAATGCGTAGTCTTCGGTTCACCATCATTGCAGTATTATCATCATTACCGTTAAAGCCGAGGTGAATTGAGAACATCTTACTGACTGTTATTTCCTCAAGTTTACTATATTCTCTTCCACCGTACATGTTAATAAAGCTTTGTGGGTATCAGTTCTCTTTAAGGTACTCCTCGAGAGTCTATAATTCCTCTTCAAGTTTATCTGGTGATCATATTCTTTGTGATCTACAGAACAGCGTCCCAAGCAGTGCTGTTTCGCAGTTGACTGGACAGAAACCGCTGAAATTAAGATAAAGGCTATTCCATGTATCTTTGCGCTGGATAGATGTTTGAAGTTTACCAACAGTTCTACGTTGAATGCATGACGTCCAGAAAGTTGAATTTACCATTGTCTTTATGTTCTTTTGTGTAATTAATATGTTTATGTATGTTATTGAAGGTTCCAACCAGTTTTGATGCACGGTGTAACTATTTACACTCAATTTATGTATCGTCAAGATGTCTAAACTAGGATGTTGTTTCATGAATTAGATATTTGTTTAGTCAGCTTAATTTTATTGACAAAAATATCTGCTAAAATAGTGTTTTATGATCAGCCTATTCCCACTGCGTCAAATTGGTGATATAGAATATTGTCAAACTTCAAGTGGACATCTATCGTGTGTATTAGAATTCTCCTGAATTCAGTGGTATTGCTAGAAGGAGATCAGTGAACTGACATATAATATGCATAACTTCAAGAAGAGGCACCTGCGTTCATAAGTTAGTGACCTCAAAGTAAAACACAAACTAATTCAAGACTCGCAGTTGATTTGCCCTTTTAGTAAAGCGGAGCAAATCTTTCATAGTGTATTGAGTCAAGCGTTGCCAATAGGTTCTAACTTTTAGGCTAACCAACGAGCAAGTTTGTGGTACGGTGAATTACACTTTGACAGCTTAAGTCTTAACGGAAGATTCTATTTATGTATCTTATATAGACCGCACATAAAAGACAAACGTCAACCTCGATGCTTCACACCGTAGTATGTGAAATTATCCATCAAATTATCTTCCAAAGTCCTCTGAGTGCCTTTGTGGTTCTTTTTCAGCTGAATCTGTCATGTCTTTGTTCTCACTGTCAATTTCGAATTTTAAAGAGTGATTTAGAATGGACTTCATTTCGATAAAATAAAATCATGCTTGTTCATTACTTCTACACCCGAACCTGTATGCGGCAGTATTACCATGATGTTTTCATTATTTCTAAAGTGTTTTATTGGAGCCTGGTGTTTTTTTGACAAGATTTTGGACTGAGGAATCGGTGACAATAGGTAATGATTAACGGTACCGACTAATATAACCTTGAACCGACTTTTCTTAACATCACTCACGGTGTGTAGGTTGGTAAACAGATTGAATAAATTTTCTAATTGAACTTCTATGTCGATTCTTTTCACAAACTTCTTTGGGACATGAAACTTACATCCACATGAAAGCCCTTCAAGTTTTGTTTTGTTCAGCTTAACATTTGACTGGTTGCATATATGTAATCTCAGGATTTTCTTTAAAAATTTCATATATTTTCTCCTTTAACAAGGTCTTCAACGACGTCTACTAAAAATTATTGAATCCATTGTACTATAGGCTCTTGATGAAACTGATTAACTTTGCGTGGCATACAATGTTCAAATAATTGACCAGTTTGTCGAAAATACCGGCTTCTATCCTCAACTTTGTAATTAGTAATATCTCTTGATTTCACTATACACCAAGGGCTATTCACGGAACGATGCAGTTTACACAAGTGTGAAAAATTTTCAAACTGATGAGGAAAGCAGCATGAGCGTAGGTACTAATCATAGAACTTAAGTCGAGTAAATTCTTTGAATATTCTGCAGCTCATGGTCACCAGGTGATATAGCAACTGAAATGACTAGATAGGAAGGCGTTTCTTCAGAAATTTCATACACATATTTCCCTTCATAAAAATTAAAAGAACACGGAGAAAAATTAAAGCAGAACAACACAGATCCATTTTAATATTTCGGTGGTTCTCATCAGCTGCTTATAAGTTCAGATCAGTAACTTCAGTCAAAATGAGATAACGACGCACAGAAGTAAGGATAATGTCCAAAATGAGCTAATAAAAGTCAAATAAGCAACTTATGAAACAATATCCTACCTTCGATACATCAATCGTAAGTTCGTGACAGACAGACACAAATCAAAGTAGCACATCGCACACAGGTGGATTCGTTCATGCTGCCACACTTCAAATTAGTATACAGAGAATAAGTGGACAGAAAAAGAGTGATACCAAAGTAAACAAAGTTTTGTGAAGGTAAAAACAATCTGAAGATAACGATTATTGTAAATATTCAGGCTCGATGTTGGCTTTGTCAGTCTGTCAAGCTGTAGAAGACGTCAAGTAGTGAATACATCTGTGGCATCGTGACCAATTTTCAGTCACGTTATCAAGATTCCTCAACCCCTGATTCCTATCGTTTCGAAAAAGGCAGCCAAATACCCTACATCTCCCTAAGACGGAGGCAAAAAACATTAGGAGCATCACTGACTGGTGCCATGTCTTTGTCTTGCCGAACTGAACTTTCGTTTAACCTTACCCAACTTCGCCTATCACAGCACGTCGACATAGGCGTTAGGAGCAGTACATATACAAACCCATACCGCATACCACAAATGCTTGGAACATTCAATAACATACATAAACATATTAATTACACAAAAGAACATAAAGACAATGGTAAATTCAACTTTCTGGACGTCATGCATTCAACGTAGAACTGTTGGTAAACTTCAAACATCTATCCAGCGCAAAGATACATGGAATAGCCTTTATCTTAATTTCAGCGGTTTCTGTCCAGTCAACTGCGAAACAGCACTGCTTGGGACGCTGTTCTGTAGATCACAAAGAATATGATCACCAGATAAACTTGAAGAGGAATTATAGACTCTCGAGGAGTACCTTAAAGAGAACTGATACCCACAAAGCTTTATTAACATGTACGGTGGAAGAGAATATAGTAAACTTGAGGAAATAACAGTCAGTAAGATGTTCTCAATTCACCTCGGCTTTAACGGTAATGATGATAATACTGCAATGATGGTGAACCGAAGACTACGCATTGCACTGGACAGGATGTATCCTACAGAAAAGCTAGTTCCCCTATTTCATACTCCTTGCTCGTTGATACAACCAAAGATCGACAGGTACCTCTCGTATGCTACCCCCAATTGTGTGTATCAATTCACTTCTGTCTGTCAGAGGACTTACATTAGGAGGACACGAACAAAGACTTACCTTCGATATTTTGAACATGTCACTAAGATAGAGCAAGAGGAGCGAGCATCCTGAATGGTGCAATTACTAAGCATATAGTGGAGACACCACATCAAGCAGATGCCTTGGAATCCTCTACAGTAATCGAACAACAGAATAACTCAAGTATTGTTTGCTTCGCTGCAGCCACTGCAATCAAACACCTGAAACCAGATTTATGTGTTCGACAGGAATCTATCATTAGTCTTCGACTGCTCTGATAACCTAATTCCTCAACGTTTCACTTACTTGATTACATCATTATCTTGTCATTAGATTTGTTGTCGACTCTTTAACCTCAAATTTCAATCAGGTGAGTTCTACTCTTTATTTTCTATTACATTTTGTCTTCCGATTACTACAGAGTCATCTATTCATTGGCTTAGGTAGTTTCTTGCTCTTATTTACACAGTGTTCATTTTATGCCTTCATCTGAGATTTACGAGAATTTTCGTTTTCATAAGGTATGTATCTATGATATCATCACATGACATTTTGACTTTATTTCAATTTGAACAGTGTCCTTACTTTGGTATGTCGTTGTTCTGTTTTGACTGAAGTCACTGAACTGTTGTAGGTTGATGTGTGTCATTGCAATTTGTCATTTTAGGTATTGTGGGTGTGAAGCAGGTAAGGAGAACTGGTGAAGTAATTAAATGAATCCATGTTGTTCTTATCCAGTATATGTTTGTAGCTGTGAGTTGATGATGTATGAACTACTTTTTTGTCAACAACAGATGTATCTGTAGTGCTTTATTGTTTGGTGCTGGAATCTTGGAATAATGGTATGCCTGTTTCTTTAAGTATGTGGATTCACAGAGGGTGGGGAGAAAAGTTGATGTGGGCTTCTGGAGTTTATGACTCAGTAATGTGGACTTCAGTATCTGATGCTCGTAGGTGTGAAGCAGGTAATGAGAACTGGTGAAATGATTCAGTGAATATATGTTTTTCTCATCCGAATCTTTGCGTCTCTATATGACAGTAATTTTTTGATGAAATCATGAAAGTTCATTACTTACTCGGCTTATATAACCGTTCCCTCTCACGTGGCGGTTTATTGATGTGAATTATTCGTTCAGGTAGTATTTCGAAGTTGAGAGGCCTGAAAAATAGTTCAAAAATAGTATATGTTGTTGGTATATTATTGTCGCTGCATTTAACTTTAGTTCAGTTTTCATGTTACCTGATAATTCTTTTAATCGCTCACTGATTTCAACCCTTTTAATATCTCAAAGCCTTTGTGAAATTTTTGTCGTGAAATTTATAGTGATACTTTGATGCTTACAATATGTTTTTTGTAGTGAAGTCTAGTTCAATGAGAAGAAATAGGAAATTATTGCGATGGAATTTTTTTAATGCAGGGAAGGTTTAAAATTTACTGATTTGAGATACTTTTATCAGTATAAGGGAAAGATAGTTGAAAACATATGCACATACTGGAGTACGTTAAAGAATATTTTAGACAAGATTGTCGTAAACATGGCTATGTCTTGCTTCATGGCTGTTAGATGAAACCATAAAAGGTGAGAAATGTAGATTTGTTGCTAACTCTTAACATTTCGATTCTCTCAAGGATTTATCCCGTGCAGTGGAACCATAAAATAAGCAAGAGTGAATTTATATTAGTCAATAAAACGCTGAATCTGTACTAGTTTAGTTGAACAATATATATGATGCATATCTTTAAATGCCACTTGCAACAAACATGATGCTTGGATTAAAGTTGATCTGAATTGTATAAGCAAACTTGGACAGTATACTTATTTACCAAACAGATGACTTTGATCTGAGTTGTTGAGAGTAAATTAGTCTTTTGGAATGAGGAGAACCTGAGATACCTAAAATCTTTAGTTAGATAGTGAGTGGCATAGCTTATGATAGGTACAATATACTGATCTTTTGCCTTGTATTGAATCATAAGCAGGTTACTGTTTTCCAAACGCTTATCACTTCTAATGTTTCTGATGTCTAGTTGAAAATCTTTCCACTCTTGTATGCTTCCTTTTTTATGCTGTTGTGAACTACAAAAGCATGAATTAATGAAGCTTTGAACAACATTAAGCATTGCCTTTTATTTATTTTGTGTGAAGATGAAATATTAGCACCAAAACATGTTAAACACAAAGAAAATAGAAAGCAGTATAATAGTACACATAGCCACCTAGTATTTACATTATGTATTTTATAAAATAACGTTTTGCTTATAATCTACAACTTAAAAAGATCATAAATGTACTCCTTAAAAGAGCGATACTGATCAACAAACTTATATTTGATGATGCAAATTTACTCCTAAAGTAACTATCGTATACTTTTTCACACCAACAACAAAAGTTTATGTAAAGTTCTGATTGTATTTAAAGCAAAGAAAAAATAGTATAGCTCTCCACACTTCTATGTCACTTAAAAAGTCAAGCTAATTTTTAAGTTCTCGTTGTGGTATGAATAATTTCTTAAATAAAACTAGAGTTATGCTGAGATTGCTGAGATGTATTTGGGAGCAGAAAATACTCACATGCATGGATTAGCACGTTTCATTGAAAATGCTTTTAGAAGGTATTATTCTGCCATGTAGCACTAAAAATCACTATGCCAGTCAAGTAGCGCCAGATAAAGTGAAATAACATTGAAGACTGAGGTAGGAAATATAAATATGTCAACAAAAGCAGAAATGCGTTTACCGGTAAAAAAATTACCTTCAAAGGACTCATGAGACTTACTTCTAATTTGTCGAGTAGTTTGACGACAGTGATGCGGAGACAGTACTAGAAGTGTGATTTATTGGTCTAGATACTCGACTTTCAACCCGTGTCACAAGTTACAGCCCTACTCCACATAACAAGGTTTGGGCTTCCAGTAATTATAATAAGCTCTCACACAGGTGTGGCTCATCGCCTACTGAATGAACGTTCACGCGTTTGTTGACAGAGCTTGATTAGCTTGAGTTTTAATTAAAACTGAAGGGTCGTCTTTTGTGAAGTAAAATATCTTAAATATATATATGCACCCAGTTTTTTGTACTTTTATGTATTCCCTTAGAAAACTGATGAAGATCCAGGTTTAAAAATGTAAATTGTTACCCATGACTAACCTAGTCCTCTCACTTCACAGAAGAGTTTATGATGCCCTGAATAAACATAGTGTCAAAATTCCAGTGTACTTGAGATAATGACATGAACTCCTGAAATAAAACAGTGAGGTATTGACTTGTTGTTAGGACTAAGCTAATATTCACATTTACAAACGCTTCGTTTGTGTTGACTTCAATATAGTTTCAATCTAACCACCGAAATGTGATAGCATAGCTGTCAATAGCTATCACTAAAATAAGAGGTATTGCGTAATAAATAAATTTGCATTGACGAATATGCACCCAATGAACTCAGACAATAAAAATACGGACGATAAATTCCAAGTAATATCCACAGTGTCAACTATAGGGTACGACCAGATTCTAATAACTGGCGACTTCAACGCTCCAACTCTCAACCTAGAGCAAGATGGCACGACCCACAGCAGGAAGTTGGATGGTAACCTGCTAAATGCCATCCAAATGGCTGGAGTGTACGAAAGAATTAGCGACAACACCTTCTGGGGGTCAGATGGTAAACCATCTTAGCTGCATTACCTGCTGACCAGTGATCACCTTCTGGTTGAAAACGTTCAGGTACAGACCTCTCATGGAAGCAGTGACAATGCAATGGTAGTGTTCGACCTGGTAATCGGTGAGGGAGGGACCTCTTACCACCTCTGTTACGACTGGGCAAACTTCGAAGGTATGAACAAAAGCCTATCAAGAGCTCCACAGCTAGTGGATTGATGATCCTTTTCGGTCGACCAGCACTGGGAACTGGTAAAAGATATCATCAAGGCGGCCATCTCGCAAAATGTCCCCTTGGTGATGACAACAACCAGAAAGCGGACCTAATGGTCAAACGGGGCACTGAGCGCCTCCTAAAAGCCAAGAGAAGGACATGGCACACATGGAGACTCTCCAGGGAAGTGGATGACCATGATGCATACATGACTCAACGGGATCGAAGCTACATCAGGGTGCGGGGAGACAGGGAGTCATTCCAGTCCAACCTTGCCAAGAGGCTTGAAGTAAGCCCTAAAAACCCATACCGATTCATGCCAAAGACAAAATCGACAAGCCAAGGAGCGTGCGTCGTAAAGGGTCCGAACAGAGAAAACCTCTCTGGACAGGAGATTGCCGAAATGTTAAGCACCAAATCTAACATGCAGCTCAACATTCCATCAGAAAAGTATGGATAACTACTACCCGAGCACCGCTAACGTTATCCGACGCTGCAGAGTTAAAAGAAGTACAGATACCTCGTGCTGTTGTTCACGACAAGCTATCAAAGGTAAGCGCGGGGAAATCCCCAGGGTGCGACGACATCCGCCCATCTGTGTTGAAAGAATCTGCGAGCACCCCAAGTGGCTCACTCTGCAAACTCTTCCAACACTCCTTAGACGAACAAAAACTCCCACAAGAGTGGAAACGGGCCATCCTCTCTCCTATCTTCAAAGGAGGAGACAGGCAGAATCCAAACTGTTAAAGACCTATAGCACTTCTACCAGTAATATCAAAAGTTATGGGAAGTGTGATAGACGACCGCATCAGGGAATATCTAGGCAAGAAACAAGCACTCAGCGACGCTCAACATGGCTTTCGAAAGGGTAGATCCTGTGCTTTCAACCTCCTGACGGCCCATGATCACTGGACAGCATGCTGCGACCCCAAGGTCCCGAAAGACGCGATTTTTCCGGATTTCGCCAAAGCCTTCGACACTGTCTCACACACCATCCCAATACACAAAATAGCTGGGTTAGGTACCCGTGACCAGGTGCTATCGTGGCTGCAAAACTGCTTAGGCATTAGAGAGTTCTGCACAAAAGTCAACAGGGTCCACTCAACTTGGAGAATATCCTCATCCGGTGTCTCTCAGGGAGCAATCCTGGGTCCACTGTTGCTCCTACTATTCGCGAATGACCTCCCGCTGCATATCAGCTCTCCAATTCTCCTCTACGCTGATGACGTCAAGTTATGGAGGACAGTAACTTGCGAAGCGAAATCGAGTGCATTACAGAACGACCTCAAAACACTAGAGGAATGGGCAACAAATAGCGAATTGGCATTTAACCTGGATAAGTGTCGGTCCATGTTTTTCCGCACTCCTGATCCCCAGAAAGTAGCCCACTCTCTCTGTGGTTCACGTCTTTCCCATACCGCAGCAGAAAAATACCTGGGTTTAATGGTGACGGAGAAACTGGACACCAGTTCCAATTACCCAGGTAACGCCTCAAAAGCATACGCTGTACTACACTTTGTGCGCTGATAACTAGGTGCTCTTACCTCAGAGCTCTTTCTGAACCTCTGCAAGACTTACATACGGCCCCGCCTGTAGGTCCACAACGTCTTCGCTCTACCACAACTGAAAAGAGGCACGAACCTATTGAAGAAAGTTCAGAGGCGAGCCACCAAAGGGGTTGATGGGATGCAACGAAAACCATATGAGGATAGACTGAAAGGTCTAGGCCTACACTCTCTTATCTACCGGAGGTTACGAGATGATTCGACAATGGCTTACAAAATACCGAACAACTTAAGTCACCTAAACAGAAGAATTCTACTGAGTGGCCACTTTGGTGATCCTCGAGGAAACCCTAAGAGAATTTCCCACCAAACGTCAAGAACCCATGTCCGTTCACACTTCTTCCCCCTCCAAGTCTGTTGGCCCTAAAACGCACTACCAGCAAAGGTGGTCTCTCCCCCCCTCCCCAACTGTTGAAAGCTTCAAGAAAAGGCTAGATAGTCACACTAAGACCCACGGTCTACCCACATGTAGCTGGAATACGAACTAAACGGAAGAAATCAACTGCTGTCACGCCATTCCAACTATGTTACCTCTACACCAGCTTTCTTTCTTCTGTAATCATTTGAGCCTATTTCATCCCTTCCACTTGCCACGAATTAGCCTTACCTACCTGAGTTCTTCATACCTTTGCACCGCTCCTCACATTACTTGAGTGTAAGCAGATCACTCCATTAGCCCACTTTTGTTTTCCCCTTTTACTCACACAAACACCTTTCAGGGTCTTCTCTTCACTATCTCTAGCCCTCTCTAGCAACTGGTCCAAACAACTGTCTGGCGACCCGACATCTGAAGAAGCTAACTGCACCACAGTGCAAGGCGAACTAACCAAATATTTATTTATTTGTTTGTAGCACTTAGCCTCCTGTTCTGCATGCCAGAGTTATAGCAGATGAGTGTCTGGATCTACTGCATCGGAATCCACCAAAGACCTGGAACCGTTCCACAAGACCAAGAAGCGAGGGAGAAGAAAACAACTGGTTTACACAACCTCGTTAAACAGATATTGAATACTGGACCGCGAAACTGAGGATAATTGGTGAAATTAGTGGCTGAAATCATGAGAAACTGATGGTTTCTAGACATTACCCTAAAATGACCCACACAAGCGACTGTATGATCAGTCCGTTTCAATTTATTCCATAAACTTAGTTTCAAACAAACCCTATGAAATAACAAAAGATAGGCACTAACAACCATACTTAAGTAATACCGTCATCTTTGAAGCAGCGGTCTAAAGGATGACTACTTTATTCAGTAACGTCATTATTTAGCGTACATTTAAATTAGTCATCAGTATCGCAAAACCAACTCACCATTTGATTGAGTGGGTCTTGTGGAAAAATTTGAAATCACTGTTTAACGGCCTTGGCATACTAAGTTTAGCGGCCATTTTCCCATCGTTCATCAAAGAGTAGTAAACTTGTCTGGTTTTAAATACATCCTTAGGTTTCTCTTTCAAAAAACAATAATTAGAATATTTTTATTCGCAATACTCAGAACTTCATTGATCCATTCCGCTTTCGATATTTCGGTTTCATTTGAAAATTCTACCGGGCCACCAGAAAACACCTTCGTAAGTGGGTCAGAAATCATTCTTATTGGAGAAAGTCAGGAATTCGTATATCCGCACAATTCTAAAATCACAATTGACCTTGACGTTACCAGATGAGTAGTGGGTCAAGACCTGAATACAGCTTCAAATTTATGCAGTATAACAACTATTTTTCATTTCAATGCCCAGATCCTCATGATCGTTGGATTTTAAAAAGTGTCAGTCAGTACTATGTGTAAAGAAATTCCAGTCCCTTCAGAGTGGAGTCTCCAAGTAATTTGGTTACCTACACACATTATCATAGCGACCGTTTTCTGATACATATGTACCTTCATGATACTGTCGTTCCTAAAGTATAATTAAAATGTGGAAATTCACTAGATTACACATTTATATGCAGAATAACTACCTGGCTTTCGCAGGTATTGCTAAATCAGTTTTGTGGAAATCCGCTAGAAGGCAAAAGGCATAAAACTAATTAGATTAAGCTGCTCTCTTTGGTCACTTCAAAACACTAGGTTTCGGACACCCAGTGACTCTGCGACAAGCCAGTTTAAACCTCGAATTCCTCAGTCCCCACTTCTGAATATTTGGGAATGATTCTGTCCCTCTGACGGCTTCTGATGCAGCCAATCCGAGCTCTAACCTTCTTTAACTCAGTTAAGCCTGAATATGACACCGAGTGAGTAGCACCTGTAAGTCATCTATTTGTGATTAATTTGAGGAAAAATAGCTGAGGACAAGTGTGTCATGATATTTTCAGTTCGCAAAAAATACCTTGAGGAAAGTCTGGAAAAGCTGTCTGAGATGTATGACAGCCATTCACAGTGCATAATTAATGCGGTGTTCTGACCGCTGGACTGGCAATTATTGAGTTTCCTGCCAAAAAATGCTTAAAAAGTAGTATTAGGTGGCTGAAAATATATCTGAGCTGAGAATATGAATCATCCCCCAGCATCTGCTGAATCTTACTCGACACAAAGCTTAAGCTCATCAATCTGAGAATATGGGATATTATACGGTTGAGATGGTTCGGATCTTACATCCACTAACGCGACTTTGCAAACAACTATTTGCTGTTTACAAGCGGCTAACTACAACCATGTAAACAACGTAAGGACGTTTTGTCAAAAATCGGCACACAGAAGCAGATGTGTGCAGTTTTATGTTCCTCAGGACCATTCCTGTTCTCTTTTTGTTATTCACGACATTGTTTACAGCTGCCCCTAACAAGTTTTGATGAAGTTTTTAGGATGTCGAGAAGACCTAACGAAAAGTGACAGCAATCAGATATATGCACCTCAGCATATATATTGGACTGCACTCATAATTTTATCCAGTTGCAATAACAATATTTATTTATATTGGGTGGTGAATGGAGGTGAAATAGGAATTTGAACAGTGGGGGAATTTTCATTCCACTTACAATCAACGCCCTTTTAAATACTAGTGTGCCGAACTACGCCTATCCCAGATGGTCAAATCATAGGCAATAATATACGTCGCTGAATATACAGGTACGCACCATTTTTACAGGTATGAATAAGTTACTATGTAAATTACATGTATTCTTATAGTAGGTAATCCCAATCTCCACCTATTGTCACTAAAGGATATAAGTGCCGCATACTTATATAATAGAATACCAAGCAGGGTAAGTATTCGTAGGATAATGATATAAAGTCCACGCATGAATATATAATAATAATAACGATTAACTCCCGGGTTTACAAGTACACAGCATTTTTGCAGATACGGTTATAATACTTAGTGGCGAAAAATCTTTGGTAATGTTCTTTACCATCTCTTTTCCATCCTAGTATATGAAACTCCCCTATCTGAAAGAAAGAAGATTTAACATCACATACAAGTAGTGCACTCTGAGCTTAACGTTGAATCTTCGTTATTTTTTAGGCCATCTAGCAGAACTGAAAGTCGCGTTTAATGAATATTTAAAACCTCCATTCAAGGAAAAAGGGGACGCGGTTGAGCATGTTCATTCCGGAGAAGAAGTAACGATGTTCATAGTACATGTAGTGCACCTTCCTGGTACCAGAACACGACTAGGGCCAAAATATATCGTCCTGTCATGCACTAACACTGCGTTGCATATCTGAAGTTTTTATAAGTTTTGTCCACTACCAAAATAAATTTAAAAACTCAGGAATACAATAAACGTTCAAAAACTTTTTTGGTTGCTCATTACTTTTTTTCTGTACTCGCCTCATTTTTGGCGCTTGTTTGCCTCTCCGTTACCTAGAACGCTAATGTTCTTTATTTCTCTTCTTTCAGAATCTAGGAAATGCGCTGAAAGTTGGACACAGTTGGCCCCTGACGATGCTACTTGGATCATTTTGCGGTTCTCTTTGGTCCAATTTCCTCTCATGCATTCACCAGTAGGTTAAAGATCAATAGGGAAAAGTAGCTGAGGCTCTGGGTCGTTTTCCACAACCGCGAGAAGGGTTGCGCCTAGACGCAAAGTTCCCACACTTCTTAGGTGTGTATGGCTGCACTAGCTCCGGAGACCCACGCGCCACCCACTCCATCACCAGTATGGAAAGGTGTTGCGTGTCCACCTCTCAGTTGCCCGCCTAGGATCGAAGGTTGCTGGTACCCCAGCAACCCTCCGGGAAGGGGTGACCTGGAGCGCACCCCTCTGGCACCAAAATACAACTAGGACCAAAATAATAGGCTAAATTCAATTGAGTAAATCAACCTCTAGCTCGCCTAAGGAAGCTTTAGGTGTTTTGGATTTTGTTTTAACGGGCATGCATCCGAGAAGGCCTGGACGCCATTCTGCGCTCTCTTTGTGCTGGTCATCACGCACGTACTCAGAGTCCCTAGTTCAGCCATACTAGCCGGGCAAGTTCAGTAGAGTTTTCCTCTGTCCATTGCTATTGCATTTACTTTAATTTAATGCATTACTTCTCAAATGTATTCCCGTACCAGTTCTTTTGATTTGTGCTTTGTTATCAGTACTTACACTTTAGGTAAAGTACCGGTTAAGCAGGTGCTAGAGCACATCAAGTTGGGTAGGGTTGGTCAAACGTTACGTAATGGTAATACAACCAGCACACGTCCTAGATGCTCATGTGCTCTCACTTCAGATGTCTTGTACTCACAGAGAGGTACCGCATTATATTCTATGTATTACTGAGGGGAAATGCACCTCTAGGTCCATTGAAATGTCAAGGTATACTGTAAGTACAATAGTCAATAACATTTATAACAAAATTTGCCATTTCCCTGATGTAAAGTTCTATTTTGTTTGTTCATGCTAAACTGAACGCATGTCCACCGCGGCTAACGTAATGCACTGCATCGCTCTTAGTGGCTTAGTGAATAACGGTGAAACCCCACTTTAGATGAGGTTGTAGTTATTTCTCTACACCTTTGTATACTGTTTATAGCTGCACTGGACGAACTGAAGCCACTCAGCCGTCCGGAATTGGAACACTGTGGTAAATGCATGAATCCCTCAGTTTGTTGATTTATTGTACTCCATTGGTGTTTAAGAACTGCATAATTCATGGATGCGTATGCCAGTTCACATCCACGATTCATGATATTGATGAATACTATGACTGAGAGGTAAATATCCGACATTTTCCAACTCCAGCATCCAGAAGTAATAATTCTGTTTGAACGCGCCGATTGGGCTTCCAGAACACCTTGTCCGCCATTTTCACACTGCTGTACAGCAAGTCCCAAGTGGCCCCTTTGAAAACTGTGACAGTGCCGAGATTAGAGTTAGCTGCGGCAGTATTGAGTGTACGAATGAGTGAAATTTAGAGGAAGAACCTCCCAAATGGCTCTGGCGAGATTCATTTTTAAATAGATTTTATGATTGTTCCGTACTGTATTAGAAATACAGAGAGTAGATATAGTACGTTCGTAGCCAGCCGTCGAGCCACTATTCACCAGTATTCATCCCCTAACCAGTGGGGTACACTAAATCTGAAGAGAGTCCCGCAGTTGGACTTCAAGAGGTATACGAAGATCGTGTGATTTGGCGTCTGGGACTCAGAGCCCCCCTTTCTGAGAACCCGACAGTTTTTAGGTGCCATAGACCTCGGCTGGAAGGAACTACCGAAAAATGTTGGATTCAAGGGGTCCATCCGAACAAACACAAACGTTACTGAGCTCACTGTTGATCCGATTTCTGCTTATCAGCCGGACTGGGTGAGGCTGATTAAAGCTGTCTTATGGCTTAAGAGACCTGTGGTCTACATATCTGTTGTGCGTTCGCGTCGCCAAGATGTGTCATTGAAAGTCTGCTGTCTAACAGCCAATTAACTGGAAGCTGCTAAGCATAAAGCATTACGTATGGTACAACGGGGGTGTTTGAAGGATTAATAAGGAAACTCCGAAGAAAGGGTAGTTGTCAGGCTGAAGAAGGTGAGTTGCAAAATTTGTCACCTATACTTATGAGCGGATTGGTCTGCGCTGTCGGGGGGTTGGACTATTCCGACTATTCACCCACTTTTATGCATCTGGTTATCCTCCCCAAGCATCACTTCGTGACTGAGCTGATCATAAGGCATTATTATAGCAGGAAATACTGGTACTTCGCAAGTCCTGACCACTACAAAAAAACCACTAGATAATTAAGGGGATCAGCGACAGGAAAGTGAGTAGACTATCGACGGTTGGAAGCTGCACTGGGTCAGCAGATAATGGCCTCTCTACCAGTCTGTCGCGTGCAGAAAGGATGGTTTTGTTTCTTATCAGTGGAAATCGATTATTTTGGACCACTCATGGTTCACCAGGGAAGGAGAGAGGAAAAGAGGCACGGGGTGTGTTTACTTGTCTTCAGACGCGAGCCATACATTTAAGAGTCGCTTTCAACCTAGGCACTGACGCCTTTATAATGGCTGTGGTGGGGCTCGTATGAAGAGGAGGAACCCCTGCAGAGATACACAGTGATAATGGTTCTAACTTTGTTGGGGCACTCTCTGGACTGAGTCAACCAGTGGGGTAGGTGGCGAATCAACGATGCCATGGTGGCGAAGAGAACACGATGGAGTTCCAACCCCCGCAA